AGCAGAACTTGTTAAGGATGACAGTTGCATCATGCAATTATCAAATACAGCAAGCAAGAACAAGATGGGAAAGGCAGTAGTTTTTAGTTACAGGGATGGAGAAAGAGGAAAAGCTTGCACAGAATTCAATAAAGGGTAAACAGCAGGCAGAAATACTTTTTATGAAATAACCAGATTGAAAGGCATTAACCTAGCATGTTGAAAACAGTGAGATTTGGTATCTTGTTGTAAAGCCACTATGTCCTTTTTTGTATTAAAATTTTCTTTGATTTAACATAGGTGCAAATTAATAACAAAGCAAATGCAGCTGGTTTATTTATCATGTTTTATTGTTTAAAGTGTGCTTTGCTCTCTGTAAATCATGGGATTCCTTCACTCCTGGTATTCAACTTCTCTTTATTGTAGGGTGAAAAGGACAATGACTCTGAAACGGTTAGTCTAGATGTGTAATTACCAAATATTAGAACAGTATTTGAGATATTCAAAAAGACATAACCAACTTAGTTTAATCCTAGTTAGACAAAGTTGGGAAATTAGATTGATCATTTAGCTAACTGGACTCTTAAAATGGAGAGAGCAAAGTTACAGGGCTGAACATAAAAATGGTGTGAACATGACACAGACATTGTTAAGGATGACAGTTACATCATGCAATCATCAAATACAAGAGGCAAGAACAAGATGGGAAAGCCTTTTTAAGGTTTACCAGCATCAGAATCCTACTAGCTGGTGTTTCCTGTTAATGCCCTTTTCTCACCAGAAACTATTGTGTCTTTTCTGCAGATCATCTTACAGCTATAGACACTCATTGAAAATAGACAGGGACAGTTGAAATGCAGTGTTATTGAGCTGGCTGAGTTTTTCTTCTCTTATATGAGATTGTTTTTTCTGGTCTGAACCATCTATAGAAATACCTCTGGGACCCAAGGGATGACAAGGTTGAACGGTTATAAACTCCTCCAAGACCGTTTCAGGCTGGACATAAGGAAGAACTTCTTTGCTGTCCAAGCCCCCAAGGTCTGGAATAACCTGCCATTGGAGGT